GGTCCAGTGACTGGTGGTTCAGTTGGAGGTGGTCCAGTGACTGGTGGTTCAGTTGGAGGTGGTCCAGTGACTGGTGGTTCAGTTGGAGGTGGTCCAGTGACTGGTGGTTCAGTTGGAGGTGGTCAGTGACTGGTGGTTCAGTTGGAGGTGGTCCAGTGACTGGTGGTTCAGTTGGAGGTGGTCCAGTGACTGGTGGTTCAGTTGGAGGTGGTCCAGTGACTGGTGGTTCAGTTGGAGGTGGTCCAGTGACTGGTGGTTCAGTTGGAGGTGGTCCAGTGACTGGTGGTTCAGTTGGAGGTGGTCCAGTGACTGGTGGTTCAGTTGGAGGTGGTCCAGTGACTGGTGGTTCAGTTGGAGGTGGTCCAGTGACTGGTGGTTCAGTTGGAGGTGGTCTAGTAAATGGTGGTTCAGTGAGTGATGGTTCAATTGGAGGTGAACATGCTCACTGTCAGCGAACATGATCACTGTCAACAAACAAGCTCACTTTCAACAAACATGCTCACTGTCAGCGAACATGCTCACTGTCAGCGAACATGCTCACTGTCAACAAACATGCTCACTGTCAGCGAACATGCTCACTTTCAACAAACATGCTCACTGTCAGCAAACATGCTCACTGTCAGCAAACATTGTCACTGTCAACATGCTCACTGTCAGCAAACATGCTCACTGTCAGCGAACATGCTCACTTTCAACAAACATGCTCACTGTCAGCGAACATGCTCACTGTCAGCGAACATACTCACTTTCAACAAACATGCTCACTGTCAGCGAACATGCTCACTGTCAACAAACATGCTCACTGTCAGCGAACATGCTCACTGTCAACAAACATGCTCACTGTCAGCGAACATGCTCACTGTCAACAAACATGCTCACTGTCAGTAAACATTGTCACTGTCAACATGCTCAATGTCAACAAACATGCTCACTGTCAGTAAACATTGTCACTGTCAACATGCTCACTGTCAGTAAACATTGTCACTGTCAACATGCTCACTGTCAACAAACATGCTCACTGTCAGTAAACATTGTCACTGTCAACATGCTCACTGTCAACAAACATGCTCACTGTCAGTAAACATTGTCACTGTCAACATGCTCACTGTCAGTAAACATTGTCACTGTCAACATGCTCACTGTCAACAAACATGCTCACTGTCAGCAAACATTGTCACTGTCAACATGCTCACTGTCAACAAACATGCTCACTGTCAGCAAACATTGTCACTGTCAACATGCTCACTGTCAGCGAACATTTGAGTTTTCTATAACGTATCGAGCTGTATAGCCCTTGTGGCTTAGCGCTTCTTTTTGATTATAATAATAATAATAATATAACATATCGAGTTTTCTTCACCATCTGGCAAAATTTTCTTCATCTGGTCGAGTTTTTTACACCATCTGGCCACGTTTTCTTCAGCATCTGGCCGAGTTTTCTTCACCATCTGGCCAAGTTTTCATCTGGTAGAGTTTTTATCACCATTTGGCCGAGTTTTCTTCACCATTTGGCCGAGTTTTCTTCACCATCTGGCCGAGTTTTCTTCACCATCTGGCCAAGTTTTCATCTGGTAGAGATTTTATCACCATTTGGCAGAGTTTTCTTCACCATCTGGTCAAGTTTTCTTCACCATCTGGCCGAGTTTTCTTCACCATCTGGCCAAGTTTTCATCTGGTAGAGTTTTTATCACCATTTGGCCGAGTTTTCTTCACCATCTGGTCAAGTTTTCTTCATCATCTGGCCGAGTTTTCTTCACCATCTGGTCGAGATGTTTTGGAGTGATTCAGTTCTCAACTCATACGAGATTCTTTGGATGTTCTTCAACTATCTCCTGTTCTTTTGGCGGCAACAACAACAACAACAACAACCTGCTGCCGCTGCCACACGTACGAGCAAACAACAACCTACTATCGCTGCCACACGTACGAGCAATCATCATGTTCCACTGCCTACCGCATGAGAAATCACTGATCTACCATGTCCTCAGTAAATTAGTCTGTGCTTGTGGACAGACAGTCATGCATCTGTTACACAAATCTCCAGTAGTTATTACGCCAGTGTCTAGTCACTTGCAGACCACAGGCAGTGAGTTATTATATCAGCTGCTGGTAAGTAGCAAGCAACCCACACTGACTCCAGTCAACCAACTCGTCCACTGACCTGTAAACAAACTCAGTATAACACCCACACAGTATTGTCTCCTCATAAAGCAAATAGTCTCTGCCGATTCATTTTGTATATGCAGTTATTTGGAAGGATTCTTCTTTTTATATATATATATAGTTTTTGTGAGGTATTTACCTTAGGATGAGAGGCTGGCGGTACCTGGCAACTCTGCCAAGAGAAAGTGAAACCACTTAATTCATGCCAGATTTTTTTTCCGATTACTTCGTTCAGTTTCGTTGTGTTCCAGACGTGAGAAAGTTGACCCTTATAACAAGATCAACTCCTAGGAGACGATAAATCTCCGGGCAATTTTAACTTCTGTGTTTAATGGTTTCTAAATATCACAATGTCTCGTTAATTCACTTTTGTTTAATGCCTAAAACAGGTGACTTCCGGAAGTTGCCCTGTCTGTCTGTGTGTGCACTCGCCTATTTGTGGTTGCAGGGGCTGATTCACAGCTCCTGGTCCTGTGTTTGTGTGTGTGTGTGTGTGTGTGTGTGTGTGTGTGTGTGTTTTAAGCTGAAGTTCATGGGTCTGCTTCTGAACTTTCGAATGAATGCCATGAATTGCCTATATTAAGATGTTATATTTGAGCCCAGGAGAGGAGCCAGTCTCCGTATAGTTGTGCAGGTCCTCACACATGTTATTTCTTGCTAACGTCTCTCTGACTTCTTACTTTGTGCTTTAAAATATTTTGTAAGTCATGATTATGTTTCCTTAAATAATATATATATATATATATATATTATATATATATATATATTATATATATATATATATATATATATATATATTTATATATATGTATATATATATATATATATATATATATATATATATATATATATATATATATATATATATACATATATATATATATAAATATATATATATATATATATATATATATATAATATATATATATATATATATATATATATATATATATATATATATATATATATATACATATATATATATATATATATATAAATATATATATATATATATATATATATATATATAATATATATATATATATATATATATATATATATATATATATATATATATATATATATATATATATTATCCATCCTTAAGCAGTAGGCTCTCTGCTAAGACTACCGTTACAAAAATAGAAAGTGGAACTCTCTCTAGCTGACGGGGTGTGGCTACCTGTTGCTGGGAAGTCATGTGTGTGTGTGTGTGTGTGTGTGTGTATGTGTGTGTGTGTGTGTGTGTACTCACCTAGTTGTGCTTGCGAGGCAGGAGTCTCAGCTACTGGTCCTGCCTCAGTACTACATACGACGGGTTCCACTGTCGTATTGATCTTGGAAACTGTACAGTACTTTGCCATCTCCTCGTCTCGGTCTTCTGGAGGGTGTCACTCCATTTCCTGAATATTCTGAAGCTAAAGAAATATTTATTTGCTTCCGTGTGTTTCATTTGCTTCTTTAGCTTCCGTATATGCTCTCTTGTTCTCGATCCTTTCCTTGCAAGCAACGTGTTCCTGGCTGATATATCTTGTACGTTGTTATTATGTCTCCCTTGGTCCTTCTCTCTAAGTTCGACGAGTCCATTTAATATAATTCTAACTAGAAGGTCAGCCCTCTCAGCTTACAGACCAGTCTCGGTGCGAGCCTCGGAACTTTCTCTAATTTGTTTTCATGCTTGGTCACGTGTGGGTTCTAAGGTGGTGCTGCATACTCAATGACAGGTCTGATTTATGCCGTACACTGGCTCCTGGTCTTAAGTTTGATAGTCATGCATGCACCGCCAACAAATCAGTGATATGCTCAGAATTTTTCTTATCTTCAGTTTGCAATCTTTAACTCTTCAGTTTATACTCAATCTCCGGTGTTCATAACTTAGCTCTTGCTGAGGCTCAGTTCCCATAGCTATTTGTTTGATTTTCCCTTTAGTACTTCCCTTTCCTCCGCAGTTTCTATCCTCATTATTTTTTACAGTACGAAGAATGAAATATAAGGGATCACCACTTTTTTTGGCATGTTATTTATATACACTTGTATATAAATTAACAGTAAGGGCCCTATCACTGTTCCTTGTGGAACCCTACTCGTCACGTCTGGTTATCTTGATACAACCTACCTGACCATCACTCTTTGTCTTCTCCACTTTAGTGTTCAATAAGCCAGTTTAGTAGCCGTTCTGTTATCTCCTCCATTTAGTAGATTAATGAATCACAGGATGCCTTCCTAAAATCTATGAATACGCTGTCTACCAAACATTCTTCCCTATCTTATATCTGTCATCCTCTCTTAAGGCAGGATTTTTTTCTTTAAACTTATATAAATAACAAAACAAAAGGCACAATACCGTGACTAGAACGATACACAAATAACTCGGTCCAAGTCGGACCGAAACGTAGTCGTAAGCTTCTCTCGTCTATGTGCGGGTTATTTGTGTTTAAACTTATACTTGAATTCTTTTATTAAGCTTGTGTAAGTGTAGTGTGTGTATTTAGCAAGTGTGAAGTTTGTAATGTGCGTGCAATGTGCGTATGGAATATGCATGTAAAGCCTGTTTTTACTTGCGCACGTAGATTTTGTGTGTGTGCCTGCAGTGTGTATTTGCCTACATGTTTTCATTTGCATGTGTGTGCGTGTGCATGCGTGCCAAAATGTGTGTACGAGTTCGTAAAGAATCAAATATGGTTTTTGCTGGTGGGGGAATGGTTTCCACAATCTGTTTCCCTATAGGCTATGTGTTTTACCAAAGTTTTTATCACTGGAGCTATTGTTTAGTGCATGACTTCTCTTAGTGGAAATTTTCTTTGCGGAATCTGACGCTGGTTCTTTTCTTTTTGCAGAGGAGCGACCCAGCAACATGGATGTGAGTCCCTCGATCCACGACCATTTCAAGGCTGACCTCTTCGATCTAGTTTCCTGCACGGAGTATGACCTGAGCGGCACGGGTCTGGGCACAGACTGTTGGCCTCTCGAGGATCTAGTGGATCGCAACGGGAACAACAACAACCTTAACGTTGGAGACGTGATGACGTCTTCCTGGACCTACGGCGGCTACCAGGACCCTCCCACCTCCACGTCCGTGAGTGTTCACATCGCTCATGACAAGGATAAGGAAACCAGCGACAAGATGTGGGGTGGGGGTAGGGGCGGAGGCACCACGGAAAAGGTGGTCAACAGTGCGACAGGAAACACTATCATTATCACCTTCCCTCGCACGGAAGGTCCCCACCCAGCACCCGATACCTCGGAAACTGCCTATAACCCTTCCCCGCCCATGACGGAACACAACAACCTGGAGCTCTTCAATTCTATCCTCAACGAGAAGCCTTACGATGGTCTGGTCTCTCATAACCACCGCTCCCCCGCGTCTGACTGCGTGTCTTACGTCAGTGCCTGCTCAGGCTACAGTGACTCTGGGATCTCTACTTCGCTGGAGGACACAGCTTCGCCCAACGCTGGCGGCCATGAGCATGTCGATTTCGAGCGTCTTGTGGATTCAGCGGTGGATTCTCTTGTTTACTCTCCAGGAGCTGGAGGTCTGGGTCCCGTGGAAGACAATCCCAATATGGAAGGTGGCAGCACTGCCTTTATGGCATCGACGCAGATGTCTTACCCTGCTTCGCACGTCACGCAGAGCAGTGATGTCTCTTCTATCTTGGAAGGAGCTCTCAGGGGCACTGTTCGGCGGCCCGGAGGAGGGCCTTCGCAACCTCCTCCCCTAACCAAAATTTCCGAAGTCAAGACACTCACGCTGATGTCTAACATGACACCTTTGCCACCCCTCACTTCAGTCTTCAAGGCGGAGCAGCTTAACGGAGTCGCGGGCTCGACGCAGATCAGCAGTAGTAATGGGATGTATGTGACGACGGGCTACGACTACCACCCAGCACCTGCCGAAGAGTACACCACCCTCGACGCCTCCTTCAATAAGCTTTCCACCGCCACAACCACCAAGATGGATCAGCCGGAGCACAAACCCAAGAAACGCAAGTACACTAAACGCTCAGCGGGAGAAGAACCCTCCGTCAAAGGTCGTCTCTTACACTTCTGCCACATATGCAACAAAGGTTTCAAAGACAAGTACAGCGTTAATGTGCACATCCGCACTCACACAGGCGAGAAACCATTCACATGCGAGCTCTGTGGGAAATGCTTCCGACAGAAAGCTCACCTGGCTAAACACGTACAGATCCACACAGCGCCAAAGCCACCGGGAAAGAGGTGAGCGGCAAGGTCAACACTGTCGCAAAGCCTTCAGAATCCCCGGGTCGCGCTGGGTCGCGCCGGGTCATGTCGGGTCGTGGCGGGCCACAATTACAGGCCTCGCTCCACGTCTCACTGTCGTACCTGCTCCTCGTTCTTAAGCCGTCCTTTGCGTTATTCACAGCTTCCTACTGTTAGAAGGATAAGGGAATCCAGTAATTAACAATATGTTTAGCCTACGGTGCAGCCAATACTCATGTATGTACATAGTGGCACTAACCCGTCCAGAGCGTGTTGTGCACTCATATAGGACCTGTGTAGGAGAGTTGCATCATTGTTCTACTTGTTATTTCTAAATACAAAACATTAATGTATACCCCCACTAGCTGGCTAGTGTCTCACACACATATACACACACATAACCTTCATACTCTTACAACAGAATTCGTGATTGAAAAAGGTTGTACTTTTACATAATAGGGTGCCATGTTTCTTGAGTCGTCGTTCCGTCACTTCAGAATACTGAGGCGCGGAGTGTGTTCATGTAGCTGCGGCAGTGTAGTCCCAGAGGCAGCCTGGTGTTGTCGCCAAATAAACCAGCGCCATGAAGGTCGTGAGAAGAGGGACAAGGGAGGCATCAGACAAGAAGTTCTGTTATCGTCGAACACGGAGAGTCCATACGTATTTGCTAAATTGTTATGATTATTAATATTATATTTATGGGGAAGCGTTAAATCAGTAAGGGTCAAATAACGCCTAGGGCATGATAGATAATCAAGTATCATCTGAGAAATAGGAAGGCAGCTCCAATTTCGTGGATGAAGAGCCATTCATTAGAATCAAGGTATCCCTTGAGGAAGAGAACATTTCTGGCTGGTATCCTCCGTCACTGGGGCGGCTTCACCTAAGAGGTGGATCAGGAAGTGACGTTGAGGATGTAAACACAAGGTCGTACTATTAAAACAACACTAGCAGCAGGTTATATTTGGCGAAGGTGCGACCCACGCTGTTCCTAATGATGAGCGAAGTGGTGAGGAGTGCAAGGCTTGCTGAATGCCTGAGACACCTTGTATTTGTAGCACGTCATTAGAACTTTCGTCAGAGATTATTTGTCACTGGTGCTGTACTTGTTACTTAGGTAGTGAAATCAGAGTCTTTTAGTTGCTAGTCATCCCTAAACACCGCAGCTGATGGCGTCTGGGATCAGAGGGAGGATAGACCAAGTAACTGATAAGATTATATTTTTTGTCGATGTTACGCGTTAACTAGCGAAGAAACGCTCGTGACTGCCCGAAGAGGAAAACAGACTATTATTAGAGGAAAATATATATTTTTATTGAGAGGAAAATGCAGAGTGTAGCAATAGCTCAGAGTAAACTATTAAATGTTTAGCTAATTCCAACTACCAGTGAGTAATTTTCTTCATCATTGCCTAGGTTTGTTAGTTGTGTAGTGAAGTTAAGCTTCTACAAGATAACTCTGATCCTCCATGACTTGTCTGAGCTTCATTTGCTGCCGGTCAGTGATGGTAGCTGGGCCAGTCCTTGTCTCTCCTCAACTCCGCCTCTCACCTTCAAAAATATTTCTAGAATTTCTATATAAATTAATATAAACACACAAACACATTCACACATACACTTATATATATATATATATATATACGTATGTCGTGCCAAATAGGTAAAACTTGCGATTTTGGCTTAAACAGCAACGTTCTTCTTGCTGATTAAGACAAGCGAAAATTTGTGTATGCAATAATTTCGCAAAAATCTTTCTGAACCTAACGAAAAAAATGCATTTCACTGTGTTTGTTTAGTATTAAGTTATTGTAAACTTACCTAAAATATATTTATTTAACTGGATTAGGCTAAATTAAATTGCTCTTGTTCTAATAAGGTTAGGTAAGTTTTCTAAGGTTCTTTTGGTACAAAATTATTAATTATTACATTAACATGAATGAAAAAATATGTCTTTAAACGTATAAGAGAAAATTTTAGAAAGGACTTAATTTTAAATGAGTTTTTACTAATTGACCAGTTTTACCTATTCGGCACGACATATATATATATATATATATATATATATATATATATATATATATATATATATATATATATATATATATATATATATATATATATATATATATATATATATATATATATATATATATATATATATGCGTGTGTTGGAATTTTGGTTTTCAATTAAAGCTTCTTGATAGCTAATGGACACGGTAATGAGCTCGAGGTGGGTGCTGCCTGTCTTGCCTTCCTTCCCCCCTCCACCTCAGCCTCTTCCAGTGGTGGATGCTGCCAGTCCGCCTCCATCTCCCCTACTTCCAGTGTGACAGCGTGAGTCTTCCTTCTTGCTTCTGTGATCACCTCAGCTATAACCTCTGAGTTTGGTGTCATGCCACGAGAGGAGGGGGAGGAGAGGGGAAAGGTACCGGGTGGAGGTGTCTGACGAGGGAGCCAGATAATGGTGTTATAGAGAAGCCAAGGAAAGTGCCAGGTAAAAGTGTTAAAACAAAAGATAATTATGATAGATATAGGTTTATAATTAACTCACGATGTTTCGGCCACCCTGGACATGTTATCAGGTCCAGCACCTAGATGTCGCCTTGTTTCGACTTCAGTATGTGAGTCTGATGTAGTTATTCCGTCCACTGTGGCTAATATTCTTCATGACAGCTGAAGGTGTTAGGTGAGGACTTCAGGTAAAGATGACAAGATTGAGTGCCAGGGAGAGCGAATAAGAGTGCCATGAAAGATGACACTCGAAGGTGCCATTCTCAAACGTTACCATCAAATGAAACTGCAAGCTTAAATAACATCGTAACAAGGGTGATGGCACCCCACCTTGACATTCACCATGTAATTTATCTGCTAATCGGTCTTCCATTTTGGCAGTTACTTTTAGCCATAATTACTCCCCCTGTAAATAGCCTAAGACTTAATTACAGAAGTTATTTATTTACACCTGTGGAAAATTATTTACCAGGTTGTGGTTTCTCAAAAAATTTGTCGGATACACTGCACTCCCAAATGTTGTTTTAGGTAAAGAACTCTATGATGATTCCATTACTGATTATTATTATCTATTGAGCTCATCACATGAATAAATAATACCAGTATCTGCTGGTAAAACATTGAGTAAAACATCTACTGAATTTGTTACGTGTATAAGCAACTATTTCTTGGTGCAGTACTGAGTGTTTGTTCCAGTGAGCTCGTCGCATGTCTGAAGAACTATATACTGGAGCAGCAAATAATTTTTAATTGATGCAGTAATAAAGCATTTTGAGCTCCGTAAATGTGTTAAGTAAATACTTGTAAATAGGGCAAAAGGTTACAAAAATGACGTATGTTCGACGCCTTGGGAAAGGTGCCTCATATTTTTGTCATTATTTAAATTATATCTTCTAGTTTATTGTAAGCAAACTTGTGTACACTAGATATATTACTCTCGTTATATATTATAGGATGCTGGATGCTTCTCTAAACTATCCTTCCCTATTAAGAAATAGATATATTCGAAACATATTTCACAGATGGTTTGACGCTGAAATATGGAGGAGAGGTGTGCACAACCTCCCAAAGTTAGAGAGTATTGATAAGAGATAATTATTGTTTGCCTTGACTTCAGTGTTGTCTACAGTGATCTGGCCTTCAGTCTTGTCTGCCAGAGTAATTTGTAAACATTGGATGTTACATGATGCCATGTAATTAATTGGCAGTCTAAACATGATGCAAGTACAGGTATGACAATACCGACATGTGGCATTAAAGCACAAATGCAACACTGAGGACTTTTCGTCTACTGGGCGAAATTTCTCCTAATTAAAAAAAATTGTGCATTTGTGTTTTTATTCCAGAAGTCAAAACATACTTTTGAAGTCAGGCACGATGACTGGTCTGCCAATAACATAAACACTGTGATTGGAGATCTGTCATGCACGATGATTGGTCTGCTGAAACATAAACAAACGCTGTGATTGGAGGAGTTCTGGAAACTTAAACCCAGTCCCTGGCACTTTTGTAGATAGTACAACTCTTCCTCTCGAGCTTCACCGTCATTTGTTTCATATATACTATGCTCTGAGTTCCACGTCAACGCACCAGCCCATCTCACGAGTTAAGCTCTGTGCTCCATACCAGTATGGTACTGTAGCCAGATGTATATCATGTTTAATCATTAGTTAAATAATTTCTTTAACATGGAAGTAACGCGAGAAAATACATTTTAAATTAGCTCCTGTGAAGAGCTGGCGTAGACGCTGGGACAGAGTCATTTTTCCCGTGTATGGTAAAAGTTCTTCAGAAGTACTTAAGACTTGGTTATTGCTTCCGTAGAGTGGTTTTTAAGTACTGGCTAACAGGAGTTGCACAAGGTTGATGAAGCTTAAATCTTCTTTCATAAAGAAACGTTTTCTCTTCGCTGATGTAGATCATTATTTTGTAATGCTTAGCGGATGTTAACTTGAAATCTACAGTGGAAGCTAATACTAAGCCTTATGTATGATATCTGAATAAAATTTCACCTGCCTCTTCCATAGGTTCTGTACTGAAGATAATTTTGTATTTTAGATGTTCTCAACATTTCTGGTTGCTATGCAGTATTTTTTGGGGGGACGAAATGCGCAATATTGGCTCTTGGGCTGGATTCACATAAGGTTCATATTGTCACTGTCAAGATGCAAGGACTTTAAGCGTTACTTGTTTCCAGCTCAGGGACCAGGCCAAAGTTGCTTCAGTTGTAATTAACTTCTGAGGCAACGAGAGTGTAATATTTTATAAGTAATATTATGTATTTGTTAGTTGTTATGTGCATTCATCACAAGATTATTCATCTAACCATTCTGTAATATTGCTCCATGTCGGAATGTTTGAGAAGGTAAATAACTCCAGCATTCCAACTTACTGTTGGGTGAGGGGGGGCAGTAGCGTGTTAGCTCCGGGTCACGAAAGAGTGAAAATGAAAGAAAACGAGTGAGAGAGAAGAGTACATGAAGACTAAAGCTCCAAAGGTGCTGCGAAGGGTTCTCTTCAGGACACAATGTCGGCTCTATAATAGCAATAATGGGTACTAGCTCTGGGTGATGTCTGGCGAAGCTTCGGCTGGCGGTGCTTTCAACATCTCGAGGCTGAAGCGGCACTGGTCGTCATCCTGCACTACAGTACTCGTGATGAAGTTCTGTGGCTGATAAACCGAACAAGCCCAGGCTTAAGACTTCATCTGCTACTAATACAAATATTTTTTTATGTCAAGTACCGGCATGAAGACTTGAGCATAACATGAACGTCAAAATTTATCAAAAGAAAATGCTCCCAGAGAAGCTGAAGTTCTCATAACATACATTTTTTTTTTCAAAATAAAATAAAAATTCCCATGCCAAATAAGTCCTTTTTTTAATGCTGTTTGTACCAAAGTAAAGTCGGCCCTTATATTGCACATCTTCGGGGCTGCCTCATGACCCGGATAAAATACCATTTATGAAAGCCGTATATTTTTCTATAGTTATGGAAGCCTTATAATTTTATCTTGTTACCATGTGAGAGTCAATATGATGGTCGAACATTTCCACCATGTAAACATTTGTGCAAAAAAATTTTCCGTGCAAGGAAAAAGTCAGAAATCATTACAGGATATTCGGAAATTTGATTCTCAAATCTTCCCAGTGAAGTGAGGAACATGAAAATTGAAACTGTATAAATGAAACAAGATGGAATATAATATTATAAGGTAATAAGACGAAATGTAAAAAAAAAAATATTGTAGAAAAATATTAAGCATAACAGTATTAAATCAGATGTAAGAGAAAAAACTTTATATGTGAAATATATTGATATAGAACTAACAGTATAAGAACTAACAGTTTAGCTTTCATTAATAAACTTCCGTAAGAGCCTTTGGCAATATTTTAGTTTACGAGTATAAGACTTTACTTTTTACATTCCCTGTGTTTGTTTCTGACTCTTACTTTGCAAGGAAACAAACAAAACAAAAAAGATCTTCTCACTTGTTTTTCCTCTACTGTGATAATAAAAGTCAGTGTGTTAGTTCATTTGTTGTACCTTTTTTTCCTTTATTGTGTCCCGCTGCTTTTTTTTATTTGTTTCTGTTATATCCGTTACTTGTTTGTTACAAATTAAAATGCCTCGTGGAGTTGTCCCAGAGTAATATATGTTATTTCAATTACAAGTAATATCCATTACCTCAGTCTTTCTGATGCTTTTTGTTGTCTTTAAAGAAGCTCAAGGCTCACGTCACACCCTCACTGGGAGTTGGCAGATAGGTAAAAAGGGGGGAAAAGATTCAGACGCTACGTGATTATGCTGAAGGATGATTGGCCAAAATATGACTGTGTCAAGGGGTTATTCTGAAGGATGATTGACTGAAACGAGATTGTGTCGGAGGATTATGCTAAAGACTGTCTGAAATGTGATTGTATCAGGGGGGTTAGTCTATTGACTGACTGAAAAGTGATTGTGTCAAGGGTCATTTTGAAGGCTGATTGACTGAAGTGTGATTATGCCAGGGGAAAGTCATTCTAAAAATTAGACACATGTGCAACATTAGGGTATCTTCTATGTAGATATTTCGCCAGCCAGTGGCTGTATGAATACAAATTTAAGGACAAAACAGGAAGAATTTGTATTGATAAAGCCATTGCTTGGCGAAACGTCTACAGTAAAGATACTCAAATGTTGCACATGTGTTTAATTTTTATCTTGTCGGTACTGTATACCATTCATGTACGAAAGTCATTCTAAAGACTGATTGGCTGGAAAATGATTGTATCAAAAGGTCATTCTAAACGCTGATTGACAAACATTATTCGGAGGCCATTATTTAAGATCATTTTCTCCACCAAGGAAATGAGCCGAGAACGATATTACTGCGCTCCTGCTGAGAGCTAACTAATCCTAGTTACAAATCATTAAGGTCAAACAATCTGGAACAGATTATAAATAAGTAATCATCAGCCCTTACTGGCTGAGATGTATAGTAAGTCATTTGTTTATTAAGGATTTCACTTGTAGAG